AGGCCCTGAGTTCAAGCACCAGGACTGGCAAAAAAAAAAAAAAAAACCAAAAGCACAGAAGGGCTGGGGTGGGGAGGCTAGTTTAAGGGACATAGAAGGTTTGCTTAGCAAGTAAGTGCAGAGCCCTAAGTCCTAAATTCAATCCCCAGTACCACCAACCCTCCTCCCCCTCCTCCCGCCCCCCCCCCCACGCACCATTTATTGAGGTGTATCAGAGACACGGTATCTTGTGTCTGGCAGGGAAAGATGGGTGCCAGGTCTACTGCATTCTGATGGGGGTGTTTTCCCGGGGGAGCTGCTCCTGGGAGGTTGTGTGAGTCGCGTTGACAGTTGGGGTGAGTTCTGGAGCACTGCAGTGACCCAAACACCAAGCCACGCTCCCCACCGTGAACTCAGGGAAAAGGGTTTACACATAAATAGAACGTACAAGTCTGATAGGGGCTTCTTCCCCTGATAAAAAGTAAATGTGTTGGCAAGATTAATTAAAAAAAGAAGAGAGGAAACCCATATTAATAGGATTAGGGATGCCACGGGAAAAATCACAACATGTACCCAAGATATCCAAACAATTCTAACAGACTACTTTCAAAAGCTATACTCTCTAAAGGAAGAAAATCTGGCAGAAATGGATGCATTTTTAGAGAAATACAAGTTGCCCAAACTGAGCAAAGAAGAAATAAACCAATTAAATAAGCCAATATCCTATAACGAGATACAGGAAGCTATCAAAAGTCTTCCAACAGAAAAAAGCCCAGGACCAGATGGATTCACAGCAGAATTCTATAAGACCTTTAAGGAAAAACTAATACCCATACTCCTCAAACTCTTCAGAGAAACAGAGAAGGAGGGAGCTATCCCAAACTCATTCTACGAAGCCAATATCATACTCATCCCCAAACCAGGCAAAGACCCAACCAAAAAGGAGAATTACAGGCCAATTTCCTTGATGAACACAGATGCAAAGATGCAAAGATCCTTAACAAGATTCTAGCAAACAGAATCCAGAAACACATAAAAAAAACTATACACTATGACCAGGTAGGCTTCATCCCAAGACGCAGGGATGGTTTAACATACGTAAGTCAATAAATGTAATCCAACACATCAACAGAGCCAAGGTCAAGAATCACATGATTATCGCCACAGATGCAGAAAAGGCCTTTGATAAAATTCAACATTCATTCATGCTAAAAGCTCTGGAGAAAATAGGAATAGAAGGAACATTTCTAAGAACAATAAAAGCCATTTATGACAGACCAATAGCCAATATTATACTTAATGGGGAAAAGCTACAACCAATTCTCCTAAAATCAGGAACAAGGCAAGGATGCCCACTGTCTCCACTCCTCTTCAATATAGTCCTGGAACCCTTAGAGCCAGGGCAATAAGGCAAGAAAAAGACATTAAAGGGATCCGCATAGGGAAAGAAGTTAAACTATCCCTTTTTGCAGACGACATGATACTATACTTTCACGACCCCAAAAACTCCATCCCCAAACTCTTAGAAATCATAAATCACTTCGGCAAAATAGCAGGATACAAAATAAACCCACAAAAATCAGTTGCCCTCCTATACACTGACAATGCACAAGAAGAGAGGGAAATAAAGGGAGCAACCCCATTCACAATAACCTCCCAAAAAATAAAATATTTAGGAATTAACCTAACCAAAGATGTGAAAGAACTATTTAATGAAAACTATAAAAAGTTAAAGAAAGAAATTGCAGAAGACACTAGGAAATGGAAAGACCTCCCATGCTCTTGGATAGGACGACTTAATATAGTAAAGAGGGTAATACTTCCAAAACTAATATACAAATTCAATGCAATTCCTATTAAAATCCCAATGACGTACATCACTGAAATACAGAAAACCGTCCAAAAATTCATATGGAACAACAAAAGACCTAGAATAGCCAAAACAATTCTAGGGGATAAAGACAATATGGGAGGGCTATCCATGCCGAACTTCAAACTCTACTACAGAGCTATAATAACAAAGACAGCATGGTACTGGCACAAAAACAGATCCAAAGACCAATGGAACAGAATAGAAGATCCAGAAATAAATCCACAGGCCTACAGCCAGCTGATATTCGACAAAGGAGCCAAAGACATACAATGGAAGAAACACAGCCTCTTCAACCGCTGGTGCTGGGAAAACTGGGCGGCCACATGCAGAAAACTAAAAGTGGACCCCAGCCTATCACCATGCACCAACATCAACTCAAAATGGATTAAAGACCTTAACATTAAACCTGAATCTCTGAAACTACTGCAGGACCGAGTAGGAGAGACACTTGAACTAATAGGCACAGGAAGGAACTTCCTGAACAGAGTCCCAGGGTCACAACAAGTTGGAGAGAGACTCGACGAATGGGACTACCTTAAAATAAAAAGCTTCTGGGGCTGGGAAGGTGGCTCAGTGGTAGAGTGCTTGCCTTGCATGCATGAGGCCCTGGGTTCGATTCTTTAGCACCACATAAGCAGAAAAAGCCGGAAGTGGCGCTGTGACTAAAGTGGTAGAGGGCTAACCTTGAGCTGAAGAGCTGAGGGACAGTGCCCAGGCTCAGAGTTCAGGCCCACAACCGACAAAAACAAAATAAATAAATAAAAAATAAAAAGCTTCTGCACAGCTAAATCTATCGCAACCAAGCTAGAAAGACAACCAACTAATTGGGAAAAAATATTTACCAGCAATATATCAGACAAGGGGTTAACATCCTGTATGTACAGGGAACTCAAGAAACTAACCCCTCCCAAACCTAACAAACCAATTACTAAATGGGCAAGGGAACTAAAGAGGGACTTCTCAAATGAAGAAATAAAAATGGCAAAGAAACACATGAGGAAATGTTCATCATCCCTGGTGGTGAAGGAAATGCAAATAAAGACAATCCTGAGATACCACCTTACCCCAGTCAGAATGTCCCACATCCACAAATCAGCCAACGACAAATGCTGGAGGGGATGTGGAGAAAGAGGAACCCTATTACAGTGCTGGTGGGAATGTACACTTATACAACCACTTTGGAAAGCAGTCTGGAGGGGCCTTAGAAAGCTAAAGATTGACCTCCCTTACGACCCAGTCATACCACTTGTAGGCATCTACCCTGAACAACAGGAACCAATATACAAGGACACATGCACCTCCATGTTTATTGCAGCACTGTTCACAATAGCTAGGATATGGAAACAACCCAGATGCCCCACCACAGATGAATGGATCCAAAAATTGTGGTATCCATACACAATGGAATATTATGAAGCTATTAGAAATGACAAAATAATGGCATTTGCAGGGAAATGAATGGAGCTTGAAGGAATCATGTTGAGCGAGATAAGCCAAGAGCAAAGAGACAAATGGTACATGGTCTCCCTGATAAGTGGATGCTAAATCCAAAATGTTAGGTGATACGACAAAACTAACAGGACTCAAGAAACAAAGAACTCCCACTCATCTGGTCGAACCACTACTAAATATCCCCATGCTGCTGATCAAATGTATGGTGTGTAACATGTGAACACCGTTACATGTTACAGACTGTGATAGACAATTTGCTCCAGGAAAGTTAGAATGAACTTGTGACTTTAAATGAGCACCATTATTCCACAATACTGTGAAATTCGGGAAACTATGTAATCACTTAATCACAATAAAAAAAAAAAGAACCAAATGTGTTGGAAGTAGCGCTGTGGCTCAAGAAGTAAAGTGCTGGCCTTGAGCTGAAGAGCCAAGGGACAGCACCCAAACCTAGAGTTCAAGCCCAACGACCGACAAAATAAATAAAAAGTAAATGTGTATCTTAATTTTCCCCCCCCAGTACTAGGGCTTGAACTCAGGGCACTGTCCCTTAGTGTTTGTGTTTTTGCTTTTTGTATGTCAAGGGGCTTGAACTCTGGGCCTGGGCACTATCTCTCAGCTCTTCAGCTCAAGGCGAGCACTCTACCATTTTAGCCATAGCCCCACTTCCGGTTTTCTGGTGGTTAACTGGAGATAAGAGTCTCACAGATGTTCCTGCCCAGGCTGGCTTTGAACCATGATCCTCAGATATCACCCTCCTTAGAAGCTAGGATTACAGGCATGAGCCACCAGTGCCTGTCATTCCTTAGCTGTTTTTTTTGTTTTTTGTTTTTTTTGTTTTGTTTTGTTTTTGTTTTTTGGGTCCGGTCGTGGGGCCAGAACTCTGGGCCTGGGTGCTGTCCCTCAGCTCTTCAGCTCAAGGCTAGCGCTCTACCACTTGAGCCACAGCGCCACTTCCGGCTTTTTTCTTTTTGCTTATGTGGTGCTAAGGAATCAAACGCAGGGCCTCATGCATGCAAGACAAACACTCTACCACTGAGCCACCTTCCCAGCCCCTCCTTAGCTGTTTTTACTCAAGGCTAGCACCCTACGACTTGAGCCACAGCTCCACTTGTGGTTTTTTGGTAGTTCACTGGAGAGAGGAGTCTCACAGATTTTCCTGCCCAGGTTGGCTTTAAATTGCATTCCTCGGAGCTTGGCCTCCTGAATAGCTAGGATTACAGGTATGAGCAACTGGTATCAGGCAATCAGGTGTCAGGCCACCAATCCTGATCACTCCATGGGCTCTACAGCCTCTACCTGCATTGGGATGGCTGCCATTCTCTGTGCCAGTCACAGCTCTGGCTCTTACTCAGCATAAGATGGATAATCTCCATTACAAATGGCCTTCGACTCATTCCCAACATCTTGTGCCCTTCCACTCCAACACTCCAGGGTTGAGCCCACCACCTTGACTGCATGCTAGGATTATTTATAGATTGGGCTCTCCCAAATGTCATGTTTCCCCAGCAGGAAACGTGACTCAGTGAGTAAGACAATGGGAACAGGAGCATAAAGGGCTCGGGCCCTCCTCTAGCTTTAGAAGATTAACCTTAGAGTCCAGTGATATCCTTAGGACCTTGTCTGTCATGTAAACAGGACACCTCAGGAAGGCTTCAAACCCAGACAAGAGAATACCAGTTTCCACACTGAAAACTCAAGAGAAAATAAGCAATTTCCATTTTAATATAAAATGTGTTGTGTCCCTGTAAAATTACACAGAACAGGACTAGTACTTAGTAAAATTCACTTTGAGATTACAGAACATTTTAAATATAAAAATAAGTCTTTTAATTAAAAAGGGTATGCAAGCAGCCCTGGATACATCCTCAAACAATGGGAAAGTATAAAAACAGAGCTACTGTACATCTGGATACGATTATTCCCAAACATCATGGGGAGTTTGGTGCAGAATTTTTTTTAACTTTTAAATAGTACAATTGATCTCCCTACTCCAGCACATTTCAAGGGAGGTTGGAAGTGACAGGGAGGCCTCTGGCTCGTGCGCAGAAGATAAAGATTACCTGAACAAGAAGACAAACAAACAACTGGCCAGCAAAGAGCAGCCCGCCAGGCCGCTACTGACCGGTGGGTGCCCATCTGTAAGGGGTTTGCATTGGCCATCACACAGACTAGAATCTTCTCATTTGCAGCTTGCTCTTTAGCGGTCCCTGGTGTGGTTAAAATGCCCCTGCAACGATAAGAGCCACGACCACACACGTTAATGCACCAACTCCAAGCACTCCTTAAACTGACTACGCCCATTCTCATGAACAGGCCCAATTTCTCAGGTTAAGTATGCATTTATACACTTGTTAATATATACTGTATTGCAATTAAGATATATAAAACATTTCCAATAACGCTGTATACAGAATGTTCTCAATAAATGCTATGTTCTTTCTCCCTTACAAGAAGAAAAAGAAAATATTCATCCAATCACAAAACAAATTTTTAAGTAATTTAAATCAGAGTCAAGATTCAAGATTCAAGACCAGGTATCTTGTCTTCATGAGGACACTGAATGCAGCCCGGATTTGGAGGCCTCTGGCCCCATCCTGCCTGGCTCCTGGAGCAAGCCTCTCCAAAGTCACCTCTAGGCACAGACACACTGGAGAACCAGATGGCTGGGATGGACTGCTGGTCAAAGTCCAAGGCCCTGTGCAGTGGCAGGTCATGACAGCATCTGGAAATCTCTATCACACTTGGCCACACACATTAGTACACTGCAGTGTGGTTCCTGGCACATTGGCAGGATAGACATCACTGCCCTTATGACCACCAGAATGAGAGTGCTGAGGCCAGGAAAGAGCTGGGCACTAGGTCTGGAGGCGGAACAGCCCAGTCCATGATGGCCAAAAGGGGTAACATGTCTAGGAGGGGACAGGGCAGTACAGTCCATGATGGACAGCATTCTCAGAAGGCAGCTGCTTCCCTGGGCCCCAGGAGTGGAGAGTCTAGCAGGCAGCTACATACCCCTCCTGACACCAAAGGCTGGACCATGAGAACATGGGCTATGGGATGAAGGCTGAGGAAGCTTCTGAGGGAACAGCAGCCCTTTGTGGGCTTGTGATATCGACAACTTCTGCCACTGCCTGAGGAATTGCTTCCTTTCTTTCTTTAACATCTTTACTGCCATTAAGCACAATCTGTTCTTGCTTTTCTTCAAACATCTATACTCGAAGTTTGGGCTTCTAGGACAATTTCCTTATTTCACTAGCAGGAGTCTGTACAAAGAATTCTGTATGACACTGACAACTGGCCATGGAGATTTAAGGCTTGCCCCATCTCCTCCCTCCCTCCTCTGAGTCCGTGAGCGTCCTTCCGTATCAGTAGTCTCAATGGGAAGTTAAGTGGGGACTCTAAGGACAGACTTCACAGAGGAGTTACTGACAAGCTGAAGAAGGGAGCTGCAAGGGACAGCAGAGGACAGGCAGCAGGACGCAGAGAAAGCAGCTACCAAACCTGGAAGAAGGAATTCTGCAGTGGCTAGAGAACAATGACAAGGCCACAGGGCACAATCAAACTCGCAGCCTCCCTTCTCCCCAATATGGAACTGCTTCCCCAGGTCTCCCCAGCGGATAAACCCAAAGGAATTCCGAGAGCCCGAGCACCTCGTAGATGCTGATATGTACTGGGTATCCTGTAGATAGCAGAAAAAAGCAGAAAGTGGGCGCACCAAAGGAAGCAAGAAAAGGTCCAGACATTGAACTTACTAGCCAGACTTTAAATCAACCACTATATCTTCAAAGAACTAAAAGAAAGTACACTTAAGAATGAAAGGGGGGGGGGGGCTGGGAAGGTGGCTCAGTGGTAGAGTGCTTGCCTTGCATGCCTGAAGCCCTGGGTTCAATTCCTCAGCACCACATAAGCAAAAAAAGCCGGAAGTGGTGCTATAGCTCAAGTGGTCGAGCACTAGCCTTAAGCTGAAGAGCTGAGGGATAGCGCCCAGGCTCAGAGTTCATGCCCATGACTGACAAAAAAAAAAAAAAAAAAGAATGAAAGGGGGGCTGGGAAGGTGGCTCAGTGGTAGAGTACTTGCCTTGAGCTGAAGAGCTGAGGGACAGCGCCCAGGCCCAGAGTTCAGACCCCACAACCGGACGGACCCCCCCTCCAAAAAAAAAAAAAAAGAATGAAAGGGGACTAGCGGGCTGGGAAGGTGGCTCAGTGGTAGAGCGCTTGCCTTGCATGCATGAGGCCCTGGGTTCGATTCCTCAGCACCACATAAGCAAAAAGGAAAAAAAAAAAGCCGGAAATGGTGCTATGGCTCAAGTGGTAGAATGCTAGCTTTGAGCTGAAGAGCTGAGGGACAGCGCCCAGGCCCAGAGTTCAGGCCCCATGACTGGACCCAAAAAAAAAGAAAAGGGACTAGCACTGATGGCTCACACCTGGAGGCTGAGATCTGAGGATCAAGATCCAAAGTCAGACCAAGCAGAAAAATCCATGAAACTTTCATCTGCAATTAACCAGCAAAAAGCTGGAAGTGGAGGTGTGGCTCAAGTGGTGAGGCACCAGCCTTGAGCAAAAAAGCTAAAGGACAGCCCCAGGTCCTGAGTTCAAGCCCCAGTGAGAGCACACACACACACACACACACACACACACACACACACACACACACACACTGCAAAAGGAAGTAAAAGAACGATGTTTCATCAAATATAGAGTCTCAATAAAGAAAAGTTACACATATCTTGACAAATTCTAGGGTTGAGAAGTATAAGTGAAAAAGTCACCAAGGAGGACTAAAACAAGAACCATGAACTTGTAGTCAATTGAGATTATCTAGTTTGAGAAACCAAAAGGAAAAATAGTGAAGAAAAGTAGATGGAGCCAGAGACTTGTGAACCCCACGAAGTGTCCCAGCACACACAACAACATGCACCGCAGTACTGGAGGGAGAGAGAGAAAGGGCAGAAGATCACAGCCAAAATGCTTACGTTGAAAAAGTCTACACACTTAACAAGATCAATGTCCTCCAACCTAGGATAAACAAAAGAGCTTCCACCTGAACACATCACATTCAAAGTACCTGAAACCACAGCATCCTGAAAACAGACACAACTGACTGACATATAACATCCAAGAGACCCCCCCCACCAACACCAACAACGGGTTTTATCCGAAATTATATCAAAAGGTTGAAAAAGGACACCAAGTGCTACAAGACCATCAACCCAGAATTCTATGGCAAAACTGCAGAGACCTTAAGGCAATCTTGTGGACTGGGATGTAGCTCAGTAGTAGAATGCTTGACTACCATGTGCAGGGCTCTGGGTTCAAACCCCAGCATTGCAAAATAAAAAGGAGTTTTTTTATTGGTCTGTCATGGGGCTTGAACTCTGGGCCTGGGCGCTGTCCTTCAGCTCAAGGCGAGCACTCTACCACTTGAGCCACAGTGCCACTTCCAGTTTTCTGGTGGTTTACTGGAGATAAGAGTCTCATGGACTGGGGCTGGGAAGATGGCTCAGTGGTAGAGTGCTTGCTTGCCTCACATGCATGAGGCCCTGGGTTCGATTCCTCAGCACCACATACACAGAAAAAGCTGGAAGTGGCGCTGTGGCTCAAGTGGTAGACTGTTAGCCTTGAGCTGAAGAGCTCAGGAACAGCGGCCAGGCCCAGAGTTCAGGCCCCACAACTGACCAAAAAAAAAAAAAAGACTCACAGACTTCCCTGCCCAGGCTGGCTTTGAACTGCGATCCTCAAATCTCAGCCTCCTGAGTAGCTAGGATTACAGGTGCGAGCCACCAATACCAGCCTAGCATTTTTAAAAGAGGTATCTTAGAAAATAAGTTATTGTTCCATAAAGGACAGCAGATAGTAAGTTGTAGCTACCTGAATAATGCAAGTGGGCTTTCTTTCTAATTGTTACCAGTGATTAAGACTATATCTCATTTTTGCACATTCATCTTCTCCTCAATACCCCTGCTCAACATTGTTCCCGAGTTTCGAGGCGGGTAGGAGATGTCTGGCCCAGAGGCCGCTGTAAGAGGCGCAGGGATGGGACCCAAACCTAACATCTCATGGCTGCAGCCTGCAGCCCATCTGCCCTCACCGATGATTCTGTACAGCCTGGAACCATGTTGTAAATACCCAAATGGCCCTTGGCAGACCGTCTAGATGGACATTATTATCTGGAATGGAAACAATAATCTAGACGTTTTCCCTCTCCAATTTTTATGCCCATCTTCTTCCTTCCGTCCTTTCTGGTTCCCTCACTCCCTTTCTTTTCCCTTTCTTCTATGACCCATGCTCCTTAACTTTCTACCTGGATAAATCTGGTTTGCTGAGCTTTTTATTATGAATAGGATTTGGGTTGACTGTATGCTGGTTCCCCCACCCTGCATCTATTGAAATGATTAATTTTTCCCTCTTTGGATCAAACCATGTACTCACTTTTCCTTTCTTTTCATTTTGGGGGAGGGGTGCTGGAACTGGAGCTTGAACTCAGGGCATTTGCACCCTTGCTCAGCTTTTTTGCTTAAGGTTGAGGCTCTTCCACTTTGGCCATGTCTCCAATCTCATTTTTCTAATGTTAATAAATCTTTAGCCTTTCAAATGTCGTTTTATATGAAGGCTTTTTTTTGTCGGTCATAGGGCTTGAACTCTTGGGTCTGGGTGCTGTCCCTGAGCTCTTCGGCTCAAGTTTTAGCACTCTACCACTTCCAATTTTCTGGTGGTTAATTGGAGATGAGTCTCACAGACTGGCTGGCTTTGAACCGTGATCCTCAGCTCTCAGCCTCCTGAGTAGCTAGGAATACTGGTGTGAGCCACCAGTGCCCGGCTTGGAGGCTTTTAAACCTGCAACCCTCCCACGATGGAAGCTTGCTGAGAACTTAGTTTCCCCACTGTTTTTGGTCTGCGTTCTTGACTGTAGTTGATTTGGGTTGCTGAACTTTCTGGAGGCAGGGGTGGAGAAAGCCATGTGCACTGCTCTCCCAGCTACCCACAGGTCCTAGCACCCAGAGGTGTCATTCCAAGTGTACTCATGAGCAGTCTGCTGTTGGTCAAATTATTACCCTCATAGGTAAGTCACGTGACATCTCCCCAGCAACTCTCCCTGTCGCAGGAGGGGACAGGTCAACACTCACTCAGTCTACCTTATTTGTAGGAAGTCTAAATTGAAGTCTTGTTTTCTTCTAGCTACTGAAGCCCTCAACACCTTCAGAACCTAAGAGCTTTCTGACAGTCATATTCTGGAGAACACAGTCCGGATGCTATCAGAGAAGATGTGAAGATCTTCAGTCTGCTCCTACTCACTGTGGGGCTCCTCTCTGGCAGGCTGACTCAGTCAGGTGGGTTTTCACCAGGAACCTCTCGTGAGTCTGGAAGCCTGGTCCCCGGGGGGCAAGGCATTGCTGCCACACTTCCCAGCAGGCATGGGGCAGGTTGTGGCACATGAAGCTGGCACAGTGACTGTAAGCCAAGGGCAGCAAGAGGCAGACTCAAGCTCACCTTCCCTGTGGAGCTCAGGCATGCCTGGCCAACTGTTTGACCACCATGTCTGCAAAGACATAGGCCAGAGTAGCAGCCAGGGAAAATGCATGGAGCGCAAGTGAGATTCCCAATTGTCCCATGACTATTTTCTGCTCTCAAGACACAGGAATGAAGAACTGGCAAGAGGACACAGCCAACCAGTATCCACCCATCTTTGCTAATCTATGCCAGAATTCTCCATTTTCACCCTGCCTCTGCTCCAGCCTGAATCTCAGACCTCTGCACTAAGCGCAGAAAGGGCAGCACAGAAATGGCCAGTGTTCCCCGGGCTGTGTGGCTAGGCTAGACGCCTGGACAGTGGTGAAATTCCCAGCAACTTACACATATGTAAGTCACAAAGCCCAAATATTCGCTGCGACCCACACACGACCTACACACTCCAGATGCTAAGCGCGCTGCACTAAGGACCGAGGCCCTAGGGTGGACAGCAAGCCCCAGAGGCCTATGATTAAATGGCAAACTTTTATCCCTCCTGGGAGAATCTGTCCATTGCTTGCTAATTCACCCAGTAATGGTCCAGTCAGAATGAATTGACCAATTATTTCCCCCCCATAGACAAAAGCTTCCACACTCTCTCTGAAAGCTAGATGGACAAAAGAAGGACAAAGTGTGGGGAGAGCAGCCACTAACAAGGGTAGAGACGTCCTACAGGAGTCAGTACTGGGGGCAGGGGTTAGTGAGAGGGGGCTCAGGGGAAGCTCTAGCAGAGCGGGGCGGGGGGGGGGGGGAGAGAAGAGGAAGAGGAGGAGGAGGAGGAGGAGGAGGAAAGCCTAAGCGTCAGTCCTGCCCCATGTTCCAGTGTCCTACCAATGCTTCATATGGACTTAATCTACCCAGAAACCAGAGACCAGACAGTCTCCATGATGCACAGCAGGGAGTGACAAAAGGGAGACGGGGCTGAGGAAGAGCCAGCGACTGAGTACCCGAGCACCCAACAGTAAGGCGGAGGGCACTCAGCCCCAAAGGACACACTATAGCACGTGGAGACCAGGTGCCACTGCACACACCCAATCACTCACCCATCTTCTGATTATTCTAGAGCCCTTTGCTGCACTACTTAGGTCTTGATTAATCGGTCTGGATTTACAAAGAACAGCATGATTTCCATGGCCAAGCTGACTGCAGAGAAACGAGCAGCCTACTGTCTGAAAGATAGTCTGTGGAAGGGAAGGAAAGGAAAGCTGCTTGGTGACAGCTTTCCTCCATACTGCTTCTGGATGTTCAGTGCTGGACAGGGCAGGGCAGTGAGCGCAGGCAGCCCAGCACTGGGCAGGAAGACCCCAACATGCATTCCCACCCTCAGTAATGTATGCAGGCATGCAGGGCTCAGAGAGGTGTTCCTAAGTAAAAATGGGTACCATCACTTCAGCCATGACACTTACTCTTAGAACCGTATCAGCAACTTCTGAAATAGAAACCACTCCAACCATGAGTCAGAATGGACCAAATAGAAGGGATCGAAATGGAACCTTAGAAAATGAGTTTGAGTTGGGTGCTTGTGGCTCAAGCCTATAATCCAGGAGACTGAGATCTAAGGATTGTGGTTCAAAGCCAGCCTGGGCAGGAAAGACTCTTATCTCCAATTAACCACCTAAAATCGGAAGTGGTACTGTGGCTCAAAGTGTTAGGGCACTATCCTTGAGCAAAAAAGCTCAGGGACAGCACCCACACCAAGTTCAAGCCCCATAATACGATATCAAATGCCAAAGTGAAATATCTATACTGAAGATTTGGAGAAAAACTTATATGACCTCCCATAGAGGCCAGAACAGAAAAGAGCTCTGGGAAAGGGCTACCGAACAGGCAGAGCACGGGCAAATTTGCAGTCTGGAATCCCCTACAAACTACCACTGACAGGCTCCTCTTTGATTCAAGGGAGGCATCTAAGAAGCCACGGACAGGACCTGGGCACATTTGTAGGCAAATGGGTCAGCAATGTGAATGAATGGAGCCTCGACGTAATAGAGTCTTCGGAAATTGGGAATTGTTGCCCATCGTTGATTTACCGTTAAGTACTACTCCCTGGGTTCTTGCATTTTCTAAGAAAACTATTTGCTTTTTATTTAACACTGAACCTTCTGATGTTTTAGAATATAAAAATAGTAAGTATCTCATTATTTTAAAAGCTTAGGTGAGAAACTAGCCATATTATTAGAAAAAGAAGATATATGCAGCTATAGTCTGTTCAAATATCAAGAGGTGTGACTTCGCAAATTCACATTTCAATCTTTATTTACATAAGACTTTTAGAAATAGTGGGGGTAAATATTAAAACTCCCAAGCCTGGGTGAAATTTTATTGAGAATAACTACAAATAAAAGGAAACTGATTTTTTAAAGTCAGTTTCTAAAATTTAGATGAAAAGAATATTGAGCATTAACCAAAAAAATGATATTTACATATCAATGTAGGCTTTCTGCTCACAGATTCATTTCCTATGAAACTAACGGAAGCAAGCTAGGGGAATTACAAAGAAAAGAAAAACCCTAGTCAAATAGGTACTGTTGTTCAAACAGAATATTAGCCAAAATGATCCAATCAGTTGCTGGAGCTAAATATTTTTTTTCTTTAAGCTATTCATGCCAGAACACAAGCTTTCAGAGCATAAGAAATCCGTATTACATTCCAAGTGCTTGCCTCCAACAGATGGCGGGATTTCAAAGACACACTCAGAGGGAATGGGTGGGACAAGGAAAGAGTACTGTCAGTCACTAATGAATAGGCCATTGAACCATCATTTCTCAAGTGTTACTTATTCACATTCCAGAGTATATTTGGTAATTATCTGAATCAACCTAAACATACTAAACCCAAATTGCTGAATTTAAAACACAATAGAACGCAATTTTCTGAAGCTAGAGAACAAAAAGCAGAAAAATACACTATACACAGCACGTTTTACACTAAACTTGTTTTTATATTTATCTAATGACTTCAGATAATCAGCAGTTCATATACTCAGCAGTGTCAGGTTTGTTTAGTATAGAATCAGCCCATCACTATACAGCACAGTAGACTGCAGTGTGTCAACTGATGATCCTTTCATAAACTGTCTTTTACTTATCAAAAGCAGAGCAAGGAGCATGATGAAAGGGTGCAGTGTACCTACAAAACTCATCTGCTGAAGGCTGACCCCATCGTAAAACTACTTAAAGATAATAAAAATACAGTTTTTAAAAAGCACAGCAATACACTTATTTCTCTGAAGCTCTCAGGAGCAATCTCAAAAACACACATACTTTTCTCTCTCTTGGTCTCTTCCCCCTCACCCCCCCATGGTGTCTGGAATTTAAATGCAATTCTATTTTATTACAATATTAAGATTTCAAATTTAAAATAAAAAACCAAGAATTATAGAGGTTATCAAAAACATATTAACTTGTTCTTAGAGTAAGTTCAAAATTAATAACAAAGGTATTATTATGCTAATATATACTTTATGATATTCTGCCCCACAGTGAAGACTGAGAATTGACTCTGGCAGTTTCTGACCTCATCTACTTTGAATGGTGATGTAAACGCTGTGTTTCCTTCTCTGATCTACAATTTATAAGAAAGTTTACAAAAGCACGCAAGAAAAGCTTGTACAGGGAGAGAAAAACCCAATGCTGATTCCCATTTAAATAATCAATAAATTCAAGTCTTTTCCCCAATGTATCCTTAAATGATTTTCGACTTTAGACACATACTGTGATCCCTTCCTAAAAACTGGACTTACAATTTCTATTTCTGATCTAAAGTTAGAAACGAATTAGTTTGCACCCCAACAGAATGTTAAAACAAACTCAGATCAATCTTAACCTCTGTTTATGTCCCTTACTCCTTAGAAATGTAATTGCAGTTTTTATTAACTTTGCTTTATGGATCTAATATTTAAGAAGTCTATCTTTCATGTCACAGTGAGAAGGTTAATGCACTTACGGATTCCCCTGCAATGCATCTTGGGCAAGGCTGGGCTGAGCTCCTTCCACTGTGCTGAGGAGTCTGTTTAACAAACCACAGGCACAGATGTATTAGGACGTGATTATTTACAATTTTTATTAAAATACTTAAATGGGTTCCAGTGTGCTTCAGTGACGGCAGGAACGCACCTCTGGGCACAGCCCTCCCTGGCCGCCCTCAGGTGGAGGTGCCGGGGCACAGCCTCGTGGCGGAGCCGGCTGGTCCTCGGTGTTCCAGGACGCCACGGTGCAAGTGCCCACACGCTGGCAACCACACTCGTGCTCACTGACTCCTGATCTCCTGCAGGCCCGTTTCTGAAACAAGTAAAACATCACTTGAGATGGCCTCAGAAGGCACACAACACTAATTCAATCTGCTCTCAGGAAACCAAAGCTCCAAACACCGACCTTTGTGGCGATGGTAGCCTTGATGGGCATCTGAGGGAGACGACGTTCAGCTTCCCCAGTTCGGGACAACCACCATCCATTATGCTTAACCTCATTACTTCTAGCACTGCCTGATAGTTACTTAGCTTTGTAGATTTAAAATAGTCATTTTAAACCATTTTGGCTGAAACTCTTGTAATAAAGTATTGTGACTGCTTTATTGGAAATCTACAAAACCTATAAATTTTCTTCAAGAAACTAGTTATATGCTTCAACACGTTTTGTTTAGTATCAAGTTACATATCCTTTTAACACAATATGAATAATTCACATGTGAATATTTCTCTGTCTTACTGGCACTCAAGAGCAAATTAATTTTATTGATTTCAAAATCTAAACACAGCTCATAACTGGGTAATTTCTGGAAAAGTTAGCACTTTGTTTCCTCTTCCACATGAACTTTATAAAGAAGGTTCTGCAAAAGTAGTTCTCCAGTGCTCAACAAAAAATACTTTACCTCAAAATCTCAAGTCCTATGTATTTGTAAAGCCACACTGTTTGGTGACAGAGTTCAAGAGACAGAAACCTTCCTCTTCAGGAGTCCTGGAGGCCACCCCGTGAAGGCCTGCTGCTGCCCACCCCATCCCTCCCACCCCCGCCCCACCCCCGTCCTGTCTGCTGGGGACACCTCTACCATCCTTGTCAAATGATTTTTTGCTGATTTATTATATGTAATATTATTTAGTTGGTATTTTCTAAATTGACTTATTTAACTTCATGGATTTACTAATGTAGAAAACTTAAACCATGGATTTAGAGCATTCATTTTATCATTCTCTAACACACCTGTATACTAAAAGAAGAAGGTGGGGCTGGGAAGGTGGCTCAGTGGTAGAGAGCTTGCCTTGCATGCCTGAGGCCCTGGGTTCGATTCCTCAGCACCACATAAGCAAAAAGAAAAAAGCCGGAAGTGGCGCTGTGGCTCAAGTGGTAGGTAGAGTGCTAGCCTTGAGCTGAAGAGCTGAGGGACAGTGCCCAGGGCCAGAGTTCAGGCCCCCCCCCCAAAAAAAAATAAAAGAATAAGGTAAAAAATGAACTCTGCAACACTTAAATCCACTTAAGATAATTTTCGGGGGTAGACTCCTGCCTCCCCAGAGGAAGGACATGGGTAGCTGCACAGTTCACTTGCCTCCTGACCCAGGAGCAGGAGACAAGAGGAAAAGCAGGCCTACCAAAACTTGGCATACATTAACAGAGAAAGTTCCAGAAGCCTGAGCATCAAGCTAGGAAGAAGAGAACTGCTGCCCAACTGCATCAAGAGGGCTACCTCCTCCTTCTGCCATGCCTTCCTGCCACGCCCACACTGGACCTGTGGTCAGCACACACAGAAGGAGAGCCATCATGAAGAAAGGAAAGAGGCCCCAGTGGCCGGGTGGTGGCTGACATGGTCAGAAGACCCACTCCAAGTATGAGACCTCATTGACGTGTCCGTGCTCACCAGAGCTCAGGCTACAGTCCACAACCAAAGCAGACAGACGCAGGTGAGAGCCATCTTCAAAACCCACTGCTTCATCACCCAGCACCAGCAACACCCTCACACCTGTAATCCTAGCTACTCAGAGAGCTGAAGTCTGGAGGCATGTCATTCAATAGCAGCCCAGGCAGCAAAGTTTACTAGATTCCATCTCCAAAATTACCAGCAAAAAGCAGAACTAAAGGGATAGCTCAAGAATGCTAGCCTGGAAAGTTTGTAGCCCTGAGTTCACCCAGGTACCCTAAATCAACAAAGCCTCAGTACTCCATGGACAAGAAAGGGTTGTGTGTGGTGAGCGGGGAAAGGGGGGTGGTTAATAGAGTAGTAAAGACACAACTCTAAGTAAAATGGGAAAGAAGGCAAACAATGGGAATGGAAGCCAAAACGAATGAACGCTTCCACGCTGGAAAAAAAGATAATGTTTAAAATTACATTATAAGAAGGCTTCTCCAAAAGAAAGACAATTGATCTTAAAATCAAAGTATTTGCAGGGTACCTACAAAAACTAACCCAGAATGATTAACTCTTCAGACACAGCCTAATAAACTATTCAGATTTGAAGATGAAGCCCTTAAGGTCTTCAGTAACTTTTCAAAGGCAAAGTAATCTGACTGCTCTCAGACTTTTTAAAACACAAAGACTACAGTGGAGCAACATTTTAATAAACTCAAAAGAATTTTTTTTTCTTCAGTCATGGAGCTTGAACTCAGGGCCTGAGCACTGTCCCTGAGCTCTTTTTTGCTTAAGGTTAGTGCTCTACCACTTTAAACCACAACTCTACTTCTGGTTTTTGAGTGGCTGACTGGAGGTAAGAGTCACCAGGACTTTCCTCCCTGGGCTGGCTTCAAATGGTGATTCTCAGGCCTCAGCCTCCTCAGGAGCTAGGATTACAGATGTGAGCCACCGGCGCCTGGCTCGGAAATTTTGAAACAAGATTTTCAAGTTCACCACCAAACATCAAAGTTACTTGGCCAGGTGCATATGGCTTATGCCTATAATCATTCTAGATACTCAGGAGACTGAGATCTGAGGATCTTGGTTCAAAACTAGCTAGGTAGCAAAGTCTATGCGGAATGGCTCAAGAGATGTGGCTCAAGTGATAAAAGTACCAGCCTTGAACGAAAAAGCTAAAGGACAGCATCCAGGCCTTGAATCCAAGCCCCCAAAACCACCACCACCACCACCACCATCATCATCAGTATATAAATTTGGGGAATTTGCTCAGGTTAGTAGATTCTGTAGGAGGGTACACTAGGTAATGACAGAAAATTCCAGCAAACATGCTTTCAAGGCCCAGAGTTCAAACTCAAGAAATGGCACCAAAACAAACAAACAAACAAAAAGGCTTTGGCTTAGTTCTGGTGGCTCATTCTAGAACCTATAGTCCTAGCCACCTGTAATCCTAGCTAACCAGGAGGCTGAGTTCTGGGGCCTGTGGTTCAAAACTGGCCTAGACAGTTAAATCTGAGAGATTCTTATGTTCAACTAACCAGCCAAAGACTGGAATTGGAAGCATAGCTCAAGTGGTAGAGCACCAGCCTAAGCAGGAAGTCAAGCCAAAGCCCAAGAACCTGAGTTCAAGCCCCAGTATCAGCACAACAAACAAACAATATCTTATTCTGCCAAGTGGTATAGTAATAATCTCAAGCACCTTCAGGACCTTCTCAAGTACTTCAGCCATTCTATATATTCACCTAAGTTAGGCTCAAGATCATTCCCATCTTGCTCAATCTTTATATTACAGAAAGGAGTCTGATGTGTTAGGCTGGCAGTGTGACTCAAGTAGTATAGCACCTGCCTACCAAGTTTGAGGCCCTGAGTTCAAATCACAGTACTGGCAGAAAGAAAAAAATCAAAGTATGATGTGTTAAAATTGGTTTGCTGTCAACTCTTCATTCATAATGTGGGCTGAAAGGGAAGGGAATGGGGACTAACTATTCCCCCACCATTGACTAGGTAGGTCCTGACTTCTCCCACTGGGAGACATCCTCACTGGCTACTAACAACACGACTGTGCTTTACTCTTCTCAGTGACGGGAAGCACGGCCATGCATAAATGCACCAGAATCTACACTTTATGATCTATATTGTATATCATCTCTGTGTGGTTAAATGACGCTTGGCCCATAAAGATTAGTGGACTTGCAATCACCCGCTGTGCCTAAGTGATGAGCTGATGTTCTTTGGGGGCTCAGGCTGCCAAGGCACTGGGGTCCCACGCCCTGTGGCAGGAGATGGAAAACCATGCCTTGGTAGCAAGGTAGACAGGGCTGATCCCCTGGGAATGTTCTGGTGGCCCTGAGGCATCAGAATGGATTAAACTATTCATATTCTCTGCCAGAGGAGGAGAGAGAATGAAGGTCACTGGCCACACCCTTTAACTCTACCACAGAAAGACACTGTCCACTCTCTTTAGTGAGCACAGCAAGAAACTGAACCATTCATAAACACCTGTCACCCTGGATCAAGCAACCATGTGGTTAAGTTGCATATGAGTTAAGTAATACCATACAGATTTTAAAACCAAGGTAAAATACTAGATCTCATGACTGCAAGAGATGTGAAGTACCAAAGAAAAAATATTTTCTGCAATAATTTGATATAAAGTTAAACAAAAAATAATCGAATCCTTCATTCTGAAGGTATTTTTCAAATTCTCATTGACCAGTGAGGATTTTTTTTGAGATCTTTATCCTAACAATCATATTTCCTGACAAGTACAGCCTTGTCCCTTATATTTACAGAAAGCTAATTTAATTTAAAGTGTTTCTGCTTTGTAATTTCATCTCATTTGTCCTATAAAGGCACTAAGCCAATTAAATCCCAGGTACAGAAACAGCCTTAAGGTTTTCTAGCTGTTTTATTTTAATTCTACCACAATAAAGTAATAAAATAGCACTGGCATGCAGTGGTGTTAGTCTGAATAGAGGACAGGGAACGCTGGACAGACCAGGACTAGGGCCTGCAGCCCAGTTCCCACAAAGCAAAGCCACATCCCACAGGAGGTGTTCATTTGGAAAGAACCCAGCACTCTTGGGAGGCCGCATTCTACAATACGCTGAAATCTGGCAAAGGCAAAGACGGTCAGCAGTGGGGTGTTTCCACTCAGCTCCCACATTATAAGGGCATACCCAAGTGGGCCTGAGCCTCCTGATGCTGCTTTTTTACCCCTGACCATGTTTTAAGATTCCTCAATGTAGCGGGCATGGTCTTTCAGTGCATACTTGACCTGACCAAGTTGAGTCTGGCAATGAGGCAGCCAGCCCAGGGTCAAGGTACTGGGGTTAACTTGAGGTCATTAGATTCGGTATGTGATAGAGAAAAGCAAGAAACCCATTCTTTCACTCCTGGTTAAAAGAGGAAGAACTCAGATGACATTTCCTGTACCTGGCTGTCCCTGGGCCCAGGGCTCACTCCATCCAGTCCAGGACTCGCACATTGCGGTCAGGAGCCCTCCAAGCTTCCTGCATCCGTTCAGCCTCTGCCTGCAGCCATGGTGCCCTGTGAAGGCAGCCAGGCAAATGCTGGCACACTGCGGCTTGGCTCATTTGCAAAGGCTCTGGCCGGTGTCAGCGCTGGGACCCTGGCCAGCACAGGGCTGGCCGAGCTGCTTCAGGAGCTGGTGCTACAGCAGCAGGAGGCGCCTGCCCAACCAAGGAGGAGAAATAATCCAGGAGTTTGATGGTAACATAGGTTTTGGGCTTTTTGACTAAACCTCTTTTGCAGTTTATTCAGTAAAAAGTTGAACTCTCAAATTAAAAAAAAAAATACACGTTGTACTTATTAAAGATTAAGTTTTAGTTGAAAAGATTTACCAAATACAGGCTGAGTACATTGTCTCATAAAAGACAGCAAAAAGAAAAACCTCATCTCCACAAACAAGCTGAGAATAGTGATATGCACCTGCAATCCCAGCTATTTGGGAGACATTAAGAAAGAGGACCAAGATCCTGGACAGTTCTAGGGAAAAATGCCAACACTCTATCAAAAAAAATAACTGAAGCAAAGAAAGGGCTGTGGGTGTGGCTTGACTGGTAGAGTACATGCCTAATCAGCACAGGGTCCAGAGTTCAAACCACAGTACAATTTTTTAAAAAAGGATTTACAAATACAGTATAAGCATAATTAGTCTGATTAATATTAATGGTCTTAAAGTAATTACACATATTTCCTGACAAGTATAACTTTGTCCCTTGTATTTACAGAATGCTAGCTTCAAGTGTTTCTGCTTTGTAATTTCATTTCCTTGCAATAATCCTGTGATGATGGAAGGCACAAGTTTTATTTACATCTGGGAACTGAGAAAATGAGGTCAAGGGCTCTGGCCAATTCAGTGAAGTCTGGGGATTTGAAAAGTCAGCGCTGGGACTTCAGTGTACTTTCAGCCTAGTTGGAGAGCCAAGATGTAAAAATAAAGACACATCAAAAGCTAAACAATACATAAAAAGATTTCACAACTGGATGTAACCTTAGCCTACAGATCCAATATCAACTAAGTATGCTATGGCATAAGAACACACGTAGAAAGGTGTGGATATATAAAATACTTCTCAAGAAGACAAAATTTTAAAAAGAGAAAAAGAATCTGAATAGCAAAATTCCTCCAATGAAAGCATATGAAGAACCATTAATTATATGAAATGTTCAACATTTGTCATTAGACAACGCTCACCTACCAGAATGGCCACAATTAAAAAGGCAGATGGGGCTGGGGATTTAGCCAGGGACAGAGTGCTGGCCTAGCACGCCCAAAGCCCTCGGTTCCATCCTCAGCACTGAGGACAAAAGGGAAAAAGGCAAACAAGTGCTGATCAGGAATAGCTCCGCAAGGATGGGAGTTAGACTCAGAACTGGCAGCCCCTGTATGTCCCGCTTATCTTTTCTGAGCTAGGTAAACGCAGAAGGATCTGGGTGGGTACGGCGGATGAGGCCTGACAGCGACGCCAGCCTGGCACTGAGCCGGGTGCTGTGGGGCCACCGGGCTACTTAGGAGGCTGAGGTCTGAGGATGTTGGGCTGGAAGACAACCTGGAGAGGAAAAGTCCATGAAACTCATCTCCAGTTAACCACCCAAAAGGCAGACGTGGAGCTGGCTCAAGCGATAGAGAACCAGCTTTGAGGCTAAAAAGCCCAGAGACAGGTCCCGGGCCCTAAGCTCAAGCCCCAGTGACTGAATGCATTTAAAATAAATAAGTAAATAAGCCAGGCGCCGGAGCTGGGGAGCAATTCTAACGAGCAAGTAATCCTGCCTGTCCCGGAACAGGCAGCTGCTCCAAAGCTGTCGGTCTCGACCCGGGGAATAGGGTGAGCAGACTGGCTAGGACCTTAGCGGGCAGGCGGAGCGGGCCCGGCCCAGGCCCTCCTCAACTCCGCGGCCCGTACCCACAGAGCGGCCGGGCTGCGAACGCAGTGCAACTGTTCACCCGGAACCAAGTTCTATGGGGGGGGGGGGCACGGAAGCCCGGACCGGAAGCTACTGCTGAGCTTCTGAGCGGCAGACTGGGACGGGGCACGCGGCACCCAACAACTTCCGCCGTACCCACCGCGACAAGCGGGCTACCGGCCGGGACACCGGGCCCCTCGGTCCTCTCGATCGGCCCCCGGCCCGGCCGCCCTCGGCGCCGCGGCCTCCTCCGTCACGACGGCCAAGTCGGGACCCGAGGCCGCGGGCTCGCGCGGGGGCCCGCCCGGCCCCGCCGGCCGCTCATCCTTGGGACAGCCGACCCGCGTCTCCGCGCCTCAGTTTCCCAGTCTGTGGTGCGGGTCGGCGGCCCGGCGCTGCTCCAGGCGAGGACCCTCGACGTGAAGGCGGGCGGGTCGGCGCCCGCCACGGCGCGGCTGGGCGGAAGGAGCCGTCCGACGCCGGCGTCCGGCCCCCGCCGCGGGTCCCCCGCGCTCCCGAGCATCCCGCCAGCGCCCCGCAGATCCGTCGTGCGGGCTGCCCCGGCTGACAGCAAAACGCGGCCCTGGCAGGGTCGCGACGCCACGCGCCCGAGGTGCGGGCGGGGTGCTTCCCCCGCAGCGCCTCTGCGCAGGCGCGAGCGGAGGGCGGGGCCAGCGGACGCCCGCGCGCAGGCCCCGCCCCGGGCGCTGGGCCGCCGGCGGCGTTGCCCCTCGAGCCCAGGCCGGGTGGGGGCGCCCACCGGAGGCGTCGCCTGTCCCTTCCGCAGGCCCAGAACCCGTCGCTCACCGCGTCCCCCGCAGCCAGTAGCTCCGCCGGCCTCCGCCGCCGCCACGCGCCCAGCGCCAGGACGTCCATGCGGCCTCGGGCGTCCCCGCGGCCGTCGAGCTCCGGGACGGTGCCACGCCCCGTCACGTGTCTCCGGACGGCCGACCGGGAAGGGGAGGCGTGGTCCCGAGCGCGCGGGAACCCCGCCAGGCGGAGGGCTGCGGGCCGCGGGAGCGGAGGCCGCGGTCTTCTCGGGGTGACAGGGGCGGGCAGCCGGCCGTCCGCCCAGGTCGCTGTTTGACGAAGAAGAATCGGCCGCTTCTTCAGTCGCAGACCGCTCCCGCCTCTGCTAACAGCCCTTGCTAACAGGGTGCGAGAGGACGGCTCCTCCTCTCCCTTGTGATTGGTCACTGAGTCCCACCGGCATCCTCTCCTGACGCTGCTGGGCTGACAGATAGCTCAACGAACCAATCAGCACGGGCGAGGCTTCAAGGGTCTCTGGGAGTTGTGGTCCCGCGAATTCGTCTTACTTCCGGGCAGCAGTTGCCTGCGAGGAGTTCCCTGCCGCGTCTGCCGTGTTGATTGATGGTTTCCCCCGGGGCCGGCGGGAGCCGCCCAAGCCCGTGCGCGAGCAGTGGAGGTTCTCGCTGCTTAGATCGCGGCCGTGGGCAGGCTGGTGGCCTACTATATTTATTTAAGTTTACTTAAATATGCATAAAACTCCCTGTTCGCCTGCAGAATTGGGGTTTTACTCAGCCTCGTGCTTGCTATACAAGTACCTCGAACTACACCCGTCATCATTTTTCTTTTATAGTACTTTTATCAAATAAAATCTCCTGTTTTTCATGTTTTGACCTCAGACCTGGAGCCTCAGCCTCACTGGAACGACAGGTGGACATCCCCATTTTGTCTTAATTTTTTTATTTTTTATTTTTGCCAGTCCTGGGCCTTGAACTCAAGGCCTGGGCACTGTCCCTGAGCTGTTCTTGTTCAAGGGTAGCACTCTGCTACTTGAGCCACAGTGCCACCCCCAGCTTTTCTTTTGGTCGGGTACTGAGGTAGTGACCCCAGGGCTTCATGCATGCTAGGCAAGCACTCTACCACTAAGTCATATTCCCAGCCCCAAAATTATTATTAGTTTTTTTGGGGGGTCCGGTCGTGGGCCCGAACTCTGGGCCTGGGCACTGTCCCTCAGCTCTTCAGCTCAAGGCTAACACTCTACCACTTGAGCCACAACGCCACTTCCGGCTTTTTTCTTTTTGCTTATGTGGTGCTGAGAAATCGAACCCAGGGCCTCATGCATGCAAGGTAAGAGCTCTACCACTGAGCCACCTTCCCAGCCCCCCAAAATTATTTTTAATGTCAAAAATAATAATATGCCAGGTGCCAGTGGCTCACCACTGTAATCCTAGCTACTCACAAGGCTGAGATCTGAGGATCAGTGTTCAAAACCAGCACTACAGGTAAACAAAAATAATAGACATCCATAAAGCTGTTTTAAATGCTTATTTAGCTATGTTATAATGAATACATTAGCTATCAGAAGAAAGTATATGAAAAGTTCATGACACTGATTTCATAAGATGCCAAAAAGCAATCAACAAAAGAAAAAATACAGATAAGCTAGACTGTATCAAAATTTAAAACTGGGCTGGGGGTGAGGCCCAAGTGGTAGCCAGTCTAACAAGCATGAAATCCTGAGTTCACACCCCCACTGCTAAGAAAACAAAGTAAAAGCACTAAATTTTAAATGTTTGTGTATCAAATGATATTATTGATTTGATGAAAGGCCAGCATATAAGCTGAGAAAGTACTTGTAAATCATGTGTCTGATAAAGTGTTAATATCTGGAGTTTATAACGAATTCTTTCGCCCAGGCGCTGGTGGCTCACGCCTGTAATCCTAGGTATTTAGGAGGCTGAGATCTGAGGATTGCGGTTCAAAGCCGGTCCGGGCAGGAGAGACCGTGAGACTCCTATCTCCAATAAACCACCAGAAAACCGGAAGTGGCGCTGTAGCACAAGTGGTAGAGTGCTCGCCTTGAGCTGAAGAGCTGAGGGACAGCACCCAGGCCCAGAGTTCAAGCCCCACGACCCACCAAAAAATAAAATAAAAATAAAAAAATAACAAAAAGAAACCCGGGTACCAGTAATCCCAGTAATCCAGGCCTGTAATTCTAGCTACTCAGGAGGCTGAGATCTGAAGATCACAGTTCAAAGCCAGCCTGTGCAGGAAAGTCTGTGAGACTCTTATCTCCAATAAACCACCAGAAAACCTGGGCTATGGAGGGAGACTTTATCTCAAAGTCAAGATGGCAATTTTTGTGTAGTTGATATGTCATAGAATTTAAAACACATTCTCTATTGAGAAGGAAGTCACATCTCCATACATCGGATAGTTCATCTTGCATACCACCTTCAGGGAAAGTGGTTCCTAGGAAGAAAGTGGCTGGATTTCTGATCTTCTATTTCTAGTTCCTAGGCAAGCTGTCTGAAGGCCAAGCCACCTTCCCCCTTCCAGTGTTAGAGGGAGATGGGAATAACTGCCTGCCTTAGTGGTGGCCATTCACTGTCAGTGCCTGCCTCTGGAGTGCTGAGCACTGTCTCAGGAGCCTCACTTGAGATAACCTCCGTCACTGCCTCCAGCTTTCCCCAGCAGAGCACTGGACCCCAGGCGTCCAGAGAGGTTCACTTCAGCCATGTGTGCTGTGCTGGGGGGGTGGGGGAGGGTAATGCTCCTGAGCCTCTTCTGTGAAATAGGAATAAAGCAGCTCCCTAGCTTGCTGGCACAGATGTCAGAGAAACTCTGACTTCTCTGAGGGCAGCTAGAATCAGGAAAAAAAACAAAAACTAAAAAAACCCTTTGGCATGTCTACCTCCATCTTACATCTGTGTCCTTGTCTCTGAGTCTTTGTAGTCACCTTGAAGCCAGTTGGAATGCGGGGAGGGCAGAACTGATGGATAACTTCTGTGATGAGAATCAGAAACTATCCACTAGCACACAATGACTTTCTTATAGTGACCAGACCTCACCCAACCAATCCTGAAAAGATAGACAAGCGGACCAACACCAAAGATAAACTGAATGTTAACTGTGCCTCTTTTCCAGAAACATCCCCGGGTAGTTTAATAAATCTCTGAGCCAGGTGCTGGTGGCTCAAGCCTGTAATCTTTGCTCTTCAGGAGGCTGACTTGAAGTGATTTGAAGCCAGCCCAGGCAGGAAAGTTCTCAAGACTCTTGTTTCTAATAAACTACCAAAAACCAATACAACAGAAGTAGAGCTGTGGCTCCAGTGGTAGAGAGCTAGCCTTGAGCAAAAAAGCTCAAGGGACAGAGCCCAGGCCCTGAGTTCAACCCCAAGACTGGCACCAAAACCAACCATAACAAATCTCTGCCCTTCACTATTGATTCTTTACTTGGCACATCTGAACAGCAGCAGGGCCTGACACAGAAGCCTTGAGTTGGGCCTGGTAGCCATCTAGCACACATCCTGGCCTACAGTGGGTGTTTAAATGTGCTCCTCCCCTCCCTCTTGACCTCTTTTTAAGGAACTCTGCACCTCCTTCCTGTTAGGTTTTTAAAAAGAGGTAACTGAGTAAGAACAGCACCACGCATGTGGTATTCAGGTAAAGGGTAAGTTTATTCAGTAGACCTGCTGGGACCAGGCCAGGGTGGCACTCCACGTGGCTGGCAAAAAGAGCGTCTGGCCCTGGGTTAGGCCTTATATAGGGTAGGGGTGGGGAAAGGTGTGTCCAGGTAAAGGGAAATGGGGCCAGGTAAAAGGAGGTGGGACCAGGTGGGAGAAAGGTGTGGCCACATCAGATCCAGATGTGACCTCAGCGGATGCAGGTGTGACCTCTTCCAGGTGTCCCAGTTGCCTAAGTAAGGCAGGTTCTGGGCAGGGTCTGCTTGCCATCCAGGAATGGACCTTACACTTTTCCCAAAAAAAAGAATACAGGAAAGTAAAACAGACTTTTGGGGGAGAGGGCTAGTAGGGGAAGGGACCACAAAAAATGTGAAGGTAGATGGACTAAGATTGAAAGAGTTTATTCCCATGAATGAAAGTAAAACAATGTAACAGTTGAAATTGTTTTAAGAAGGGGAGTGGGATTGTGGAGAGGGAGGGAGGAGGTGAGGGAGATACTGATGAACTATATTCATTTATACCATGAAATTGTTCGTTTGTTTTTAGGTCCGGTCATGGGGCCTGAACTCTGGGCCTGGGCACTGTCCCTCAGCTCTTCAGCTCAAGGCTAGCACTCTACCACTTGAGCCAGAGCGCCACTTCCGGGGTTTTTCTTTTTGCTTATGTGGTGCTAAGGAATTGAACCTAGGGTCTCATGCATGCAAGGCAAGCGCTCTACCACTGAGCCACCTTCCCAGCCCCTATACCATGAAATTGTATGACTAATGTGTCTTTAGATAAGATGGAGCCATACTATGGTGACTCCCTTTCCAGAGGACATTCCCTGCACTGCGTGTGGTCTATTCCTGCTTGCTGTTCAGACTTTCGTAAGCATTATTCCGACCTTTGGTCCTTAGCTCCACCCAAACCTGAGCTCATCCCTGCCCAGCAGTTCCCACCAAACTGCTGGCCCCTCCCTCTGTCCACCCAGACCCACCTGAGCTCCCATCTACCTCACTTCCCACCCCTCGGACCCAGCTGCTACCTACATAGTGCAGGCTGCCATGTGCTCTTTCTTTCCGGGGGGAATATGGCTTCTCTAATAAACCTTCTAGTAATCTTTCACCTTTGCCTGTCTGCCTCCTCATGGTCCCTAGCATGGATGTAACAGATCCTTTCATTGATCCTTTCAACTTTGAGTGAAAGGGCCCCTAATAAGAGGACTTGTGTGGGACCACGCTACCTAAAGCAGCCACGGTGGTCTTCTGGAATGGCCCAATTCAGATCTGTAGTTGTGGCTGTATCTCCTGATCGGTGTTTCTCACCCTTCCCCTTTGCCCCTGAGGCTTCTCCCCAAGCAAGCAGTCTACAGTAGGGAATTTGCTGACCTAACTAACCAGAGATTTCACGTCACTTAATCCTTTAGCAACACTGTGCCCAGGACTGCACTTTCTATGAAGCAGCCAACCCCGCTCCCCACCCTGCTTCCTCTCCTCTCCTGGCTCTCTGGGCATCTGCTTGTGGAGCTACACCTTCTTACTGGGGGGGAGGGGAGGGGAGCAAAGCGGGGTTGCGTAACAAAAAAATCAAACTTAGCTCCTGTTTCCTCAGTGGTTCCCAGACTGCCCTGCAGATGCCCATCTTGGGGCCTACAGAGCTGCTTTCTTTTTCCTTTCCTT